TTTTTTTTTTTTTTACCTCATTGTTTAAAAAGATTTTCAATATTCGTTTTTTGTATACACAACCATTCTTCAATCACCTTAATGTCTTCTCAGTCCAAAAAGTATTAAAAAAGACAATTAGTTAAAGCAAAAAGTTAGATGATGTCGCTGTTTTCAAGGTCAAGATGTTTTTCCGCATTTAATTTCGAATCAATCCGGCAGTGGTAATGAATACAGGAGGGTAGGAGCTTCTTGCTGCTTTAAGTGATATTCTTGTTTTAAAATATAACGTTATTAAAACCACCTACTTCTGTCCTAGACAAAATAGTACGGCGAAGAAAAGGTGCTCACGAAACATTGACATATGTTTTTCACTTATGGCACGCTTTTATTCCATATAGTTTTGTACTCTAAAACGAAATAACCCAAAGAGTTGATTTTAATTTTTGAGTTCGAAGTCTTAAAGATTATATTGTTCGCAGGTATTCACATACATTTTAGTTTTAGGCTTCTTTAAATAAAACATCAGATTGAGAATATGTTGGAATAAACAGATAATGAGCAAGCAGTTTATACTTTCTTTGTACACATCAAGCTAGCGTGCGTTTCGTCCCTTGAATTCACCAGTTGTCGTATTTAAACAGTTTCTATCAAACTGTTCTGATTGTCTTCTAAAGGCTAGAGAGATCATACTTTTTATCTGATACTAAATGCATGATCTGAAACACAAGTTAATAGGCTTTAATCTTTACAATGCGCGCTTATCGTGTACATCTATCTTCCTTTTAACACATTTCTATTAGTGAATTTCTCGTTTGATTGTGAAGCGATTGGTAAATGTTCACATCGTTTCTTTAGACCAAGAAATATTCAGTAATATAGTGCTTTAACGAATAGCTATCACGACAAGGTAAAGGCCCGCGTTTTTAAACGTCTTATTTATAGATTATCGTTTTATTTTCACGACGATTAAATCTTACACTTGATCATGCTAGCAATTATAAGTCATTTACTTCTGCGCTAATTATTCCTCATTTCTTCCAACTTCTTTTCCGTTTGTCTTTCACTTACTTTATTCTCTCCCAATAACGTTACTCTTCTTGTGGAAGGAAATCTTTCAAAATGAAAAGAAATTATAAAAGTGTTGTTCAATTTTATGGGGCCTTATTTTTCTAACTACAAAACTGACCCCTTGCGGATTCTTTTTCCTTAATGCAAAACGGATGGTAAAATGAAATTCACTTTTGGTAAAAGCCATACAAATCAAGATTTTAGATCTTTTATCTTTTCGTATGCTGGTAGATGTAACTCATATAGTGTAGAAAGATTGAAAGTTTTGAGATAAGTTGACAAAAGGCAACGCATCGCTGTTGGGGCATTCGTCAACCAGATGCCATTAACTCACGTATAATGATCGCGCGGGCTATAGGTGTTGAAAGTGCTGGTTTATAACCCTGAATCTAAACTTAGAAATAAAAACCACGAAAACAAAAACAACTACACACAAAAACAACGAAGATAGCTCAGTAGTCATAATTGAATAATTCCTACTTTTGTAACCTTAGTTTTCGCGTTTCAGTTTTCTAGTGCTTCAGCAGTGTGTAAACTTTGCCGTATGAATCATGATTGATTAAGCGAGTTGACGAATTAACTGTGAAATGATCTATATCGTGGATAAGATTGAGAACTGATTAGAAAAAGAATTACCTGAGAAATACATGACCAGGAGACATATGTGCTTCCAAGCTGTTGTCTTTAAACGCAAATCCACCACCGCAAGGATACACAAAAAGAGGTGCCAAGCACTTCCGCTTTTATCTACTTTCTTGCATTGTTTTTTCTTTTTTTTCTTCTTCTTCTTCTTCTTCTTCTTTATTTTTTCAACATTGGTACCACTTTCTGCAGCTAAATTAACCAGAGTTTTTTTCGTTATTATAAAGAAAAATAAAACATTGCTTCCCAAAAAAATGCAATAAAAAGACCCCGTAAAAAGGGCTAATTTATACAGGTTTAGTCGATTGAAATGTTAGGATAAAGAATACTTAAAAAGTCCAAGAGACCAGATGCATGAATAACTGTTAATTTAAAATTGGCTGCATTTGTAACAAATACAAAAAGAAAAACGGTTTGGATTAGCTATTAAGTACCTTAATAAGAAATGTCTTATATCTTGGCTTTAATTGAAAGGTCACCCTTAACAAGCACAAAAGCATTTGAAATGTTGATCATTATAACCTTGAACACGAAGGGTTAAAAAACATATATTGGAATATATAAAGTAAACTTTAGTCTTTTTTGCCAATTAACTTTCTTTCTTACTTCTGTCGAATCTAAAACATTTCGCTGTTTTTCTGTCTTTATTCTTTTTTTGTTCTATGGATTACAAAGCATTGTTAATTATAAACAAGACTACAAAGGCGCTTGGTAGTACTAGGGATGACTATAACTCTTTCAGGCTTTTATTTTGATATTTAAGGACATTTTCCCCGCAATTAGGAGACGCTGTTGTAGCCCAAAGGAAGGCTAATTGAAGACTTAAATGACAAGGGAAAAATGGACTTTATTGAAATAACAACAAAAAAGCAAGTTAACCAAACGTCTGTACGCCAAAAGAATTCTTTAATTTCTGGTACGAGTGAATAGGATCGACTCAAATTATCGCCATTCTGAGATATTTTGAGCTAAATGGACTGAAATATGCGCAAATAGGTCTTTTGTTTATTGAAAAGAGCTACAAACTGTGCCAAATAAAGAAGGATTTATAAATGCTTCATAATAAACCTATTCATTAGTGCGAACACTGAATGCTGAATATGCCTGCAGAGCCAAAACAGGGAATATAATTATTGAAAATGGCAAAAAAAAWTTTAACGTAACCAGTTTGAAGAGACACCAAGCATAAGAAACTTCTCCAATGCCAGATGACCAGATGACTTCAAAAACTGATCCTTTTCCCTCTACTCCACTGGAAAAAAAATCGAATTTTTTCACCTAAAGAATAAAGATTCGTTGTTTAACGGATTCGACTTTATTTCTTACCAATTATCTGTCTTTTATGTTTAATTAATAGTCAACAAAATGTAAAAACTTTAGAGCTAATTGCACATGATCTTGAACATATGTTTTTTTAATCTGGCTTTTTTGCTGGATTCTTCGTAACATTGATTAGCTTGAAACTGTGTTTCATGTTTCAGAAGGGAAAATCAGTAGCTATAATCTTGTGATTTAAAAAAAAAAAAACTTGACGGTCTTTACCTTTATATCGTCTTAATTATAAGTGTTTAATTTGTTCATTTATATATTTTTTGAAGTTATTTATAATGTCATATGAAATACACGAATAACACGATCCTATATAATGTATGAAAAAACTACAGTTTGAACCAAACGTTATTTGACTGACTAAGTCAGTGGCTGCCAAACTAGCCTAATGAGTGAGCGTATTTAAATAAATGCGTACACTAATAGACTTGGTTCATAAACAATAAATAGTATTTTCATCGTCTCTAGCTAATCAAAAGAAAAAGAAAAAAATATTCAAAGAGGACATCTTTCTGCAATATTTCGTGTTTTTTTTAAACGAAAAAACAAGTTCTGCAAAGCTGTAGATATAGTTTCAATTTGGCGATGGTTTCGATTTCATATCGTTTGATAAATAAGAGATTATTGAATTCTGAAGCCATCGGGAACAGCTATTGAACTATATGAATGAGAGCATAAAATAACCAAAGACCCTATGACAGCTGGTAGACAGCATATACAAAATTATAGTCTTTATTTGAGCTCTTTAGTCTTGACGCCAAGTCCTTTAATCAGTTTCTAAATTTCAGAAAACACAGAATCGTCAATTCTTAAGATTTAAAAAAAACAACTATGTTTTCTATGTCTCTCACTCTTGGTTACCGTACTCAACCTCGAAAACCCCAACAACTACTTTCTCAGTAACCGATAAAAAATGTCATTATTGAAAGGAAAATTTACTCTCGTGAAACCCTAAATAGTTACAATCCCAATCAAGCGCTAAAATGGCAGTCGTAAAATTTGGGGTCAAAATGTAAGCGAGCTTAGGAGGAGGAGAGGAATACAAGAACAGTGTGTTAGGAACTGAATCAAATTAAGATCAGAAATGAAGTTCTTTATACCAAAAAAGCTTCTTTTGCGAGTAAATGAAGGCTTGTTAGAATACTTTCACGAGAATATGCGAATTTAGTTTCAATTCTCCATATATTTGAAATGGTTTTTTTTCATCGACTTTTTGATTTGTAGTGGAAAGTATTCCGAGATTTTACTTGAAAACTACGAACATAGCCACATCGCTAAACTCCTATTCAAGGGTACTAGAAAAAACTACTGGCAAAAAGACGTTAACTGAATTTCAGTAATCAACCTACAAAAGTTCAAAAATAAAAAAAAAATAGGAAAAAAAACCTAATAAAATAAATAATAGATAAAATCCAAACGTCTTTTTTTAAATGAATGCGAGTTATCCGCAAAGTTATCCGTATCTTGGTGCTTTATAAATTTCCAACATCAACTTTACGGTTTTTTACAAGTTCACTGGCATTTAAAAAAAGCTTGAGTTCCTGAGTTCTTGAGAACTGGCTAGTTTATTGTCAGTGTAGAACGATGTGTGTCACTTAGTTGGAATCTTTGACAGTTATTAATGGCTCTGATATTTGACAATCAAGCAAGAATTCGAGTGAAGAAAATATGTTTGGTTTGGGGAGACTGCCATATCGGTTATCAAAGCGGGGATTCTATAACGCAATTAATTTTGGCTAACTTCTAATTTTAATGGAGAAAACGTCCCAATTTATTTCGGCCTGATTCCGGCATTAATGAGTGAGGAATCCTTAAGAATTTATTCCTGTTTTTTGATAATTAAATCACAAATTTTACAAAAATACGCAGAAGATGTTTATTCTCTACAACATTAAACCTATCTACATTTCATCGATAAATTTTACAAGAAAAACAAACGCTAAAAAGATATAAATGGCGCTTTAGTGACTTCGCGAAATATTCCTCAAATTCAAATCCAGGTCAAATTTTTGAGCGTTCGCTTTTTCTTGTAAAAATGTTCTCCAGATTACGACAAATTTGTATTTTACTTTTGAATTACGAACTTAGACTTTTACGTAGGTTATAACTTTTATATTAAATATTTTAAAATTTATGCAGAAGTTCCATTCAGTGCTATGTTTTTGTTGCGAATATYTATAATTTTAGGAGCTTTTTGAGAGCAACATTTATTCACAATATTAATTTCCTACTATTCGTTCTCTGTTTTTTTATTAACTATTTAGGCAATTTGTTTATTTTGATTCATTTCTACTGTTACATCTTTTCTTAGAAAAAGCCAGCTTTACTTCGACTGCTTTTCAGTTCAAAATCCCCGGTGCTGTTTCGTGCGTGTACATATGTCTTCTTAAGTCCACTTTTCTGTAAAAAGACCTTTTACAAATCTGGCAAGAGAATGGCTTAAATCCAGAGTGTTTTCTGCTGTGGGTTATGAGATTTGACGACTGACTAAATGTCTTGCCACACTCCAAGCATTTATGTGGCTTCTCACCCGTATGAATGTATGTGTGCTTCTTCATATCAGATTTTTGATGGAATCTTTTTGGACAGTAATTACAGCCAAATGGTCTGGTATCTGAATGAATCAACATGTGCGTGGAAAGCGTCGATGATCTCTTGAATTTTTTGTTACATTCTTTGCATTGGAACGTCTTTTCATTGTTATGGATGCTTTGATGTTGCTCTAAGCTGACCGAATGGCCAAAAGTCTTTCCGCAAATCGTACACTCATAGGGACGTCTCCCAGAATGCGAGCGACGGACATGGACTTCCAAGCCATGGGATGTACTGAAGACTTTCTTACAGTTCAGGCACTCGAACGGTTCGCCACCGTTCAGACTCGTATCGTTCTTTTTCTTCTCGCTCGGTGATGGAGACAGAAGCGCAGGTCGAAGAGGGGAGGGGCATACTAATGCGCTTACACTACGGTCATTTTCCCTGTAAGACAAGGGACTCGATGGTAGTCTGCTTGCAAACGGGCTTGGCGACCAGCAAGGATAAGGCATGGGTAATTCGCTGATACCAGACGTGAAACAGACTTGATTGTGGAATCGACCATACGGTGATAAAATGCACGGGCTGTAAGCTTCCCGTGGTGAGAACCGGCGCGTGTCGTATAGTTGATAACTTGATGTATGCCCTGGTAAAAGAATAAAAACTATCAATCATTGTTCAAAAAGCCCTATTAAATGAGAAACAAATGACTTAAAAGAGGAATGAGACAAAGAGAAGAAGGAGCGTGTGTGTCAGTATACATTTATATACTTATATATAGTTTTTATGATTTTGAATGACATCAGAACAATTGGTTTACTAATGACAAGTCGATCGGAGTCTTGAATCCTACTTTCAAGTCTTCAAATCAAATTTCAAACTCATTTAATTCCAATTCTTGTTCGAATATCTATAGGAAGCTCATTAAAAAAAGAAAAAAAATGCCAATTCAACTCCTCCCACCCCTCCCCTCTAACTTAGGGAGTTTTCTAGTCGATTCTAATGTATAAAAAGAAGATCTAAATAAATGCATAAACATAGTCAGGCATAATTGGTGTATATTCGGAGGGTATTTCCTATGAGAGAGTGATTCTCGAATTAGTCGCAAGGAACCGATCAATAATTTTCCTTACATCTACTTTTCCTAATAGTTTTCGAAGCTACTGGTTTCCTGTTATGTAGATTTGATTTTGACATTCAATTCGAAGCCCTGCGTTTGTTCACAATATAGCCTCAATCAGTTGTTGTCAATACTTTCTACAAGTTCCTGATTCCTAACAATAAAATCGATCGTGCCAGTGAAAGTCATACCTTTTGTACTATTGTTCAACATTTCTTCTTTTAATTATGTCTAGCTTATTTACACACCACCAATTCGTAATTTTTATCCCCGTGGCCTTCAATGCGATGATAACTAAATTATGACAAGCGCCTGAATTGACTTCGCAAAGGCTTTCTTGGTGCTTTCGTGTATGGAAAACTCTGGCAAAAAGCCGAGAAATCTCTAGCCAGTTTATTTGCTGACACCCTTAACTTAAGTCGAACTGTTTCCTGTGGATGGTATTCGCAAGTTTTGATTTAAGTTATTAAAAATGAAAAATAAAACATGAAAGAAAAGAAATGATTTTTGATCAGAATCGATTCGATTTTTTTTTTTCAAATCAAAGAAAAAACTGAATCCGGCTTATGAATCGAGTGATTTACAATATTTAAACTCAGCATTGATAGTTAGGTTTAGCATCGTACAAGCATGCGTTTCATTAACTTTAAAAGGCTCTGAAACACAGATTTTGCTCATTTAGAGTAGCCAGAAAAAATCCATTCAAAGTGTTTCAAAAGCTCTCTCAACTTGAGATTGGTCCTCACTTCATGGAAAAGCATGTCATTCACTCAAAACCACATCAATCCAGTTCTCACAAACACAGAGAGAATCTAACATCAATAGAATTTACCTGTTCCGCGAAAATGGGATCCCAAATCTCTGAACATAAAACGATTTGGAAAATGTAATCCCCAGTTTTGATCGGCGTCAACGACAGGTTGTTTAATAGCGGGCTTGTCCGGACGTGTGAGATTCGCGATGTCAAACGGTCGATTTGATGGCTTTTCCTCTTCTGCCGGTGGTGGCTTGTTGTCATCATTTTTTCTTTGAGTTTCTGATTTGGAAAACCGAAGATAAAAGAAAAAGAGTGAGTCAAAAGTATGTATGAGGTTGACTCGCAACGCCTGTACTCAGTATTTAATATTCAATCTATATAAACAGTGATAAGCAAAAGAGTGGGTGATTAAGTTTAAGCGTTCACTGACTACATCTCTAGCACTCCGCGTAATTTTCTGCTCACACGAAGCAAAAGTCAAGATTTTTTCACCAGGAAAATAAACAAACTGATTTAGAACTAACTCGGGTTACTCAAATTTAAACCCCAAATGCCTTTTTTTCTGATTGTTTTTCAGACAAAATAAGAATTTGTAGAATAAAGACTCTGTTAAACTTTGCAGATCGTTTTAGAAGAGTTGTAAGCAGACTTGGCAAATATGACATTCCATAAAAGAGCAGTTACCGAACCCTTACCCTTGGGAGATGGTACGAAGTTTAAATGCTGGTTTTTCTCTCTACTTGAGCCATCACTGGCTCTTTTCTTCACTAAGAATGCTTTTGGCATGGCTCTCGAGCAGTGGCGACCGCGAACTGTTACTTGCTCAAATCTGGGTACTGCGTTGAGTGAAGTATGGGTCTGGCGTTTTAATATAGAGGTATTTAGTATGCCAAAGCTTTTAAGAACACACGGAACAAAACCAACCCCCGACAGCTGCCCAGGTGGGTGCCATAGCAACACTCAAAGCTGGTTAGATAGCGCGCATGCGCACAAGTGGCTCGCGTACAGGTGTATTCTATGCGAGCTTAATTTATACACGCCATAACGGATTCTATTGGTCGGCAGAGCCGAGGGCTTTTGTGAGATTTGGCCTTTCCAATGATTATATAGATCGAGGAACCATAATTAGGACTTTGATGAAAGATCTTCGATTGTCTTGAGACCGAAGAAAGGGGTCTTACAATACCAGGGGGTTAGCTGTGTTTAAAGCATCATAAAGATCCGGTAATGATCGATACACAAAATAATCAGCGAGCCAAATATCGTGCACACATCGAAACATTGTATCGCCTCGCGATAGTACGGAATACAAAAATCGAGATCTGAATAAGAATTTTGAATGAAGACCTACAGAATTTGCAACTTAAACAAAAGTTTATTCAACTGGTTCATGTTTTCTAAGTGACCCCCGATAGATTGAGAGCCTTGCACACGGGCTTAAAAAATCCTCCTGGTTCAAGGGACGGAGACTGATGATTACGAACAGCAACAGCTATTTAATAATAAAACGCACGCGCGCGAAAAAAAAATTTATACAGCTCAGTTTTACATAACCATGCCTTTGGTTAATCACCTCTGGCCATTCACCTAACGTAAGTGGAAATAACGCCTTAAAGAAGTCGATTTTTGAAGTTCGAAACAGATGTACTGTTGACAAGGCATAGAAACTGAAAGTCGAGAGTTTCAAAAAGCTGGAAAAAGCATGTTGGATTGGAATATTCATCATTTTGTATTCAAGGGTTTTTTCCCCTTCAGGGTTTTTGGTGCGCGCGCGATATTTTTTAATTCTGAATACCACCAAGAACTCTAAAAATCTCATTAAATCATGAAAGTCGCACAATAAAAATAAACCCAAATTAGCTCCTTAGTTTTATGACCAGCCTGCCAAAAATTAAAATATTCGTAGAATACGCTTGGTTTAATACTAATGCTTTAATCGTCGTAGGGCTTTTTGCGGAATGCAACTATTAGTGTAGTTCATTTTTCCGCCTTGATTTCAAATCTGATAATCTGTAGTTAAATATCACAGTGCATATGTTTTACTCTTAGAACTACTAGTGGTTATCAGTATCGCAGATCTTCAATGGATTTATTAGCGGGCGTTAAAATCTGTAATAAAGACGATTTTTTTATATTTCTAAGCTAAGTCCAGAGAAGTCATTAACTATTGAAAGATACGATTTTGAAGTCGAAATGAAAAAATACAATAGGAAATTAATAGGAGAAGCCATAATAACAAAAGAGAACTGATAATGTGTTAACGTAGATGCGTTTCGACTGGTAAAGCTCTGTGAACATACCATACGCCATTTGTTAACTTATCTAGAGACTGATATTGATCAGGCTTCTTGCATGTATTACAAGCTTAAGTCGGGCTAGTGCAAGCGGTGATTAGGCACTACCAGGTCATCCCAGTCATCCACTTCTTATCATTAAAAGCATTAATAAGTACCCGCTTTGCCTTGGAGCTCATTGAAAACAGATTACTTTGTCTTTTGGTCTGTTACACACTGCCTGGAACCAGTGTCGTATGAAAACAATTGAATGACTTAAACAGCAGCCTTCCTCAAGGAGTGGGCTTTATCATTGTTTTGTTTTGTTCGTTTACAAAACTTGCAATTCTTTTCCCAAAGTTAGCTGCCTGGCGGGCTGGCTTGCTGACGGCACACCCGATAAATAACTGTAACTGCTGGATCCACCTTTACCACGCTTTATGGTAACTACTTCTTTAAAGCTTGTTATACACGTTTACTGTCAATTTCGATCGATCACTTGGAATGTTTGGAAACTGAGCACGAACGGGCTCAAAATGGTATACAATAGCCCGGCTTGTTAACTATACAACAGGCGGATGTTTTGAAGCTTCCACAAGTTATACCCGGTAGCTTTATTTGAAAAAAAAAGTGATTTAAGATAAAAACGACAAAAACTACTCTTATTAGAATCTACTCAGTCATCTTATGATAGGTGAGAGAATCTGACAAAATACTCAATTTCCGATCTTTTACAAAATGTAAAACTATATAACGGTAATAACCTGTGTTCCTTGTATCTTGAATATTCAACGAAAACAAAGATTTGTTTAACTGCACTATAGTTACTTCAAATGAATACTAAATTTAAAAGGAAAACAATTCCAATTCTAAAAGTCCAATTTTTTGAGTCAAGAAAACCTTGGTACTAATTTATAAACAGTTCAGAAATTAGCTATATAGTTATAGTTATATAAAAAGTTATCTATTACCTACACCTTGCATGCATTAATTCCATGCTCATTTGCGTGTAATTCAATAGTTTTTATGCTTTAATTCTTTTTAACCAAAATAAACTCAAATTCAAATAAAAATCTTATTATGAACCTAATTCCAAGATATATGATATCTAGTTTAGTCTAGAGTCCATCGATCAAATTGTCGTATTGTTTAACTTAATRCGATCTATGACATGCTTGATCGATCGCAAGTAGGCCGGCTCTACCGCCCCACAATATGGTCGTTTTGTAATTAAATGGATCTTAGCTTCAACGAGAGTGTAGCGTTAGAGATGTACATTTATTTTCTAAATCTAGCTTGCTCTTCCTTAGACATCATCCACGATTCGTTCTCGTCTCCAAGGATTCATTTCCGTCACAGCTGTACGCGAGCCATCACCAAACACAACTCAAAACTCCTTTCTTTCGTCAGTGATCAAGTACTCATTGTCTTTTATTGTCTTGAGAAGTGCGTGTTGCTATGTTATTACTTTGGTTTTCTTCGAATCTCCCATTGATGTATGAAACAGTTGGTACGTAAACAGTACGAGACTATGYCTCGCGAACGGCGCCATTTCATTAGGAAACTACAGAAGAAAGAAAGACGAAATAACCAGCGATTGGGTAATATTTTGTTTAAAAATATATCCTAGCAGCGAGTGTTTTCAGCACATTGAGGTTTCAATTCCACATGTTATTTGTTGTCATTTGACAAGCAGTGTTTACTCAATATTCCCTTTTACACGGCTGGTAACATCGGAAAAGTTTGATCAAGAATAAAGAGTAAATATTTTTGAAAACGTTTTACTTAACTCATTTTCACTCTCAGACGCAACTGAATTATTTCAGTCGTTTTCACGGTAGGGGAGTTGAGCGTCTGTCAACTGGTTGTATGTTCATGGGGGATGATTTTGGTTCAACTTTCATTAAAACATTGTTTTTAAAACAGAAAAAAAAGCAAAAAAAATAAAAAAAAAAAGCAAAAAAATAAAAAATAAATAAAAAAAAACGAAAATGGGATAGTACTTCTGCACTGATTCAAACCAAAAATCTTCCTAAACTAAAAATAATTGTTTTCGTACATTTTGATTATTTATTCATCTATTTATTAGAATTCATTCATTCGATCTTTCATTCTTTTGTTCTTTTATTCATTCGTTTATTCGTTCGTCCATTCATTCGTTTGTTCGTTCGTTTGTTTATTCATTCATTTATCTATTCATTTATTTATTATTTTCAAAAAGAGCAATAAAAAGTATATTTCAGTATTTCAACACCCTATTATTGAAATAATATTAACCAAAAGATATTCCCTTTTTTATATTATTCATACTCAGAACTTCTCAAACAGTTAACATCAAATAATATTATTTCAGATATGTTTACTACAACTTTGCTCCAATATWTTTTTTTTCACTCATTAGAAAATTTTGATCAATAGGAAAGAAGAAGCAATGTAAAATGTTGTACCTATTTTTTGCTGTTTCTATATTCATCTACATGCATACACAAAACAGTTAGAATGGAACAATATATAAAAGGCTCTAAATTTGAAAAGATATCGTTCCAAGGAACAACAAAGGTTAAACAATTTACCAATTTTCTCCAGTTTTCCGTGGTATATCCTTTTATTTACCACGATTTTCGTCATCTAGCCTTCAAAATGTTGATTACTCACGAGACGTAGCCGAGCCGTAGCCAACATATTTTGACGGCTAGATGACGAAAATCGTGGTAAATAAGAGGATATACCACGGAAAACTGAAGGAAATTGTTGTTGTTTTTTTTTACCACAGAAAATTAAAAATTTTACTAAGAAAACAAGGTTAAAATTTGAATAAAAAGGGCTTCAAGCGAGCGCGTGATTTGCTGACGTAATTTATTGGTATGTGCCCCTATCTCCTCCGGCTCTAGACCAATCAGGAAGCGAGAAAATTCACAAAGGTGGTAAAAATAGTAATTGCAACTATTGTGGGAAATTAGCTCCCAACGGGGAACCAACAACAATAGCAAGATATTCATAACGAAAAGTGGTGCCATCGACTTGCGCAACACACTATGATATCCTTATTGCAAAAACTTCAAAAGACTCTAATTTCTTGGTTCGTTCTTCCAGATTATTCGATGTTTTTAACTGACTCATTTATCGAATCGAGTTTCGTACTTTTATCTAAGATATTATTTATATCATTGAGTTGTTCGCTGAATTTCTTCGCAACTTTCAAGGCCGTCACTTTTAAACTCTACTTCTCTGGTCTTTTCTACGTTCTTACTTACACCTATTTCTTCTTTTTCATTCAGTCATAATTCCTTAAACTAACAACATTGGCAGAAACTAGAGAAACAAGCCGTTCACTCGCTTGTGACTCGTATCCAACTCAGAATTATTTCGATCATTTAGTAAAAAGAGCCCGAATGAAAAACACTTTACCTAGCTTATTATAATGTTAAAACTTGGTAAAATTGCTTTTCAGATATGAATAAATGCAACGCAAGATTTAATTTTATGCTTTGTGTAAATAAAAAGCCGACAAAAAAGTTTCGATTACCAGCAGAAAAACAGTTTGGATAATATATTTCCTTGTACGGGAAGTCTTGCT